CTCTGAGCCCTCCCTACCTAACGGACCTCCTGCACATCTCCCTCCCCTCCCACTCTCTCAGATCTGCCTCCTCCCTCCACCTCTCTGTACCCTCTGCCTGCCTCACCACTGCTCCTCATATCTGGACCTCACAGTCCCCTGGACTAAGAAACTAGATTATTTTATCATCCTTACATTCATTCGGTGGACGTTCTATTCTAAGTTATAATTTCTATTCTTTTCTCTAAAATCATTCCTACATTATTTTTTCACAGATGGATGTATCATATCCTTGAGTGTCCTTAAAGGTACGTTTTAAATAAAGTGTTTCATTATTGTTAACTTTGGGAGGAAAGAAGAGAGGGAAATCTTTTTCACTCTGGCTCCTCCCACCACCTCTGAAACAGCCAATCAGATGGTTTGTGTGTTTAGAACTAGCAGCAGCTGATGTTGAGGAGACGGGCTGTGCAGCAGAGAGACTGCTTAGTTTTCATTGTGCTGCAGTGAAACTTTGTCCACCTGCTGTAAGTTCAACAGGTGAAAACATGATCCTTTCCCTCCTCCTCTTCTCTCACTTCCCAGGTGAGTGTGTGAACTCAGAGAAAAGCCTCCTGTTATGTTCTAAACCCATCTGACTGAGATCTCATGTCAAACTCAAAGAACCCGTTGAGTCTCTTGATGCTTGAATCTTCTGCAGACTAACTGACCTGAACGCCTCATTTTGCAGCCATGGGCTCCAGCATCAGCATCAAACAGGAACCAAGTCAACAAGTTGTTGAAGAGGGAAGAAGCATCAATGTGAGCTGTGAGTATGATGCTTCTATCTACAACATCCAGTGGTACCGACAACAGCAGAGATCCAGACCTGAGTTCCTGCTCTACATCACAGAGGGAGGATCTGTTCATCCAACTCGCTCAGATTTCTCAGCTCACATCAACAAAAAACAGAAACATGTGGATCTGCAGATCTCCTCTGCTGCAGAGACAGACTCTGCTGTGTACTACTGTGCTCTGCAGCCCACAGTGACAGGAAACAGCTAAACTCTGTCCAAAAACCTGCAGAGCAAAGACAACACAATACTGCACAACATCCACTAGAGGGACTCACAGGCTGTTAAAGCTCTGATTGTTGACTTGTTGGACTGAAGACAAAGAAACTCTGACTGGTGGAGTTGAAGCCAAACCTACAGAAC